CGACGACGACGACGACAACGACCACGACTACGTCCACAGCATTTGCGGCTGGGTTTTTGTTTGAGCTCGTCGCGTCTATAGAAAACTAGAGGGCCGTCACTGTTTTGCGGCCATTGAGCTTGGGTTGTAGAGCTCAAGGCCTAGAGTTTACCTGGGCCCTGAAGAACCTACCTTTGCAGGGCTCCTTAACCCTAAACCTTTACACACATGAATTAGTACATAGGTTATTTGGGTTTAGGTGTCTAGAGGCCCTGAGGCGTAGAAACATGGACCTCGGGGTCTAGCTTGACGACGTATTGTAACGGCGTGAAATCTGCTATACCCCTAAGGGTCCATGTACACAAATAGTAGATACTTTGGCCTTAATGTAGGCCCTATATAGATACTTTGGGGCCAATGTATGTACTATTTAGGTACATGGACCCATAGGGTACCCTAAACCTTAAACCCTACATTTGTAACTACCCATGAACCACCTAGGATGGGGTATGCTTGCGGTCCGGAGACGTAAGGCTTTGGGAATTGTGTTGAAGTGCCCCAAGGTTTAGGGTTCAGGGGGGTTTAGGGTTCAGGGTTTAGGGGCCCTAAACCCTAAAAGCAACCTGTTCGCGCAGAGGCTTGAAGCCATCATCAACGTAGACCCGAACTACCTCTCTCGCTTCGAGGTGGGCTTCGGGTGTGCTGGGCAAATTATCCCAGACTGCCAGGAGGATCCAACAAATAGATCCCCTAATTTGGGGCTATATATATATATATATACTAAAGGGCCCCCTAAACCCAAAACCCAAAACCCTAAACCCTTACTAAAGGGTATTTGATTTCTAAGCCCCTCAAGGGATCTACTTTTTGGATCCTCTCGAGGGTCTGCTTTGGGCTACTACTAGGGTTTTTAAAACCCTAAACCCGAAACCCGTATACTTTCGGGTTATGGGCTCAGGGTTTTTTTAGTCAGGTTCCCACGTTAGGGTTTCGGTTCGAGGGGTTATTGGGTTTTAGGGTTCAGGCTTCAGGGTTCAGGGTTTAGGGGTTAGAGTTCAAGGATTAGAGTTCAGGGTTTAGGGTGTAGGGGTTTAGGGTCCCGATTTTGACCTAGGGTTCAGGGTTCAGGGGTTTAGGGCGTATACGACCCATCCCGGCACCGACACATCCGACAGATCTCCCAGCAAGGGCGTCGGAGAGTTCAGGCGGCAGTGTTTACCCGTTAATGTAGGGGTAAAAAAAATTACCCATGCTATTTTGGGGCTTCCTTATTATAGTTATAGTATAATGGGCCGCAAAACCCTATTCCAATTTTCAAAACCCCTATATTATTGACTGTTACCTCTTGCGCCAAACCCTACAACTTATACTAGGAGATGACACCTTGGTTGTAGAGTCTCATACCTGTGGCGCCCCTAAACCCTAAACCCTAAACCCTAAATGTGGCGCCAAACCATACAAATTAGAAGGTTATGACCCCTTAGCTGCAGGGTCGAAGCCTCACAATGCTGGGTTTTGTCGTTCCATACATGAAACCCTAAACCCTAAACCCTAAACCCCTAAACCCTATAACCCTAAAACCCATACCCACCTTTTAAGCCTAGACCCTAAACCCCACGCGCTCCCAAACCCCCAAACCCTAAACGCTTCGAAGAACCCACCGGGACGGAAGAGCCCTAAACCCCGAAGCCCTAAACCCTAAACCCCTAAACCCTAAACCCTAAACCCCTAAACCCTAAACCCTAAACCCGAAACCCTAAACAGAGCTGCATGAAGGTCTTTTTCGGCTCGGAGAGTCTCTCCCAACCAAAGCGGCAGACAGAGATCTTCCCGAATCATCCCTTTGAAATGAAGGTTTAGGGTTTAGGGTTTAGGGTTTAGGGTTTAGGGTTTAGGGTTTAGGGTGTCTTTTAAATCAACGAACATACTCTTTAAGTTATAGTGGGGTTAAGGGTTTTGGTGTTAGGTCTGATCATAGATTAAGGAACATATACTCTTCAAGTTATAATAGGATATAGGGCTTAAATCTGATTTAGGGGTACATGCAGTCCTCAAGTCTGGGATTTTGGAAGATCTGGGTCTCGAGCTGTTTCTGAATGGAGGCGGGGCAGCCCTTGAAGTCAAGTGCTCCTGCTTGGGGCAAGAAGCGCACAAAAAGGCTCAGGGGCTGAGTAGGTAACCTTTAACCTTTTGGGGCTGATATGATCCTACTATAATTCAAGAGGTTAGCCTTTTTGGGGCTAGGGTACTCAGCCCCGAAGAAGGTATTTGGAAACAGTGTGGCCGCGGAGCTATTGGAACACGGGACCTGTGCGTTTCGAGCCGCGATGCTACCGGTCATCATTGCCACCCAGGACAGGCAAAAGTCAAAAGTCCCCTAAACCCTGAACCGTCTACCGGTCATCATTGCCACCCAGGACAGGCAAAAGTCGCCGTCCAGCTCGGGTGCGCACTGCATGGGAGGACGACATGATGCCAAAAAGCGAAGCTGGAGCAGTTCCGGCCCAGGTCAGTCCTGCAACGGTGGCTTAGTGGCTGTTTAATTTTTTTGTGTCCAACATAGAAGCCGCCTGTTACGTATTATGCTCTCATGCCTCTTATGGTTTTTCAAGGGTATCCCCTAAACCCTAAGCCCTTATATCTTGCTTATTTTCGTTTTTTGTTTTGTATGTTTTACCGGCTCATAGCCTTCGGGAGCCTTCAGCTGCAACTTAGGTGGTGCCTCTGGAGACCGAGTCCCAAAGTGAGTCCGGCAGCTCACAGGATTCTGGGTTCTTTAGGGTTTAGGGTTTAGGGTTTAGGGTTTAGGGTTTAGGGTTTAGGTTCTGGTTCAGGAACCTAGATTTTAGGGGGTTAGGGCTGAAGGGTTTAAGATGTTTAGGGTTTAGGGTTGCCACCATATTTAGGGGTTTAGGGCTTAAAGGTTTAAGATGTTTAGGGTTTAGGGTTACCAGCATATTTAGGGGTGTAGGGTCTAGGGTTACCACTATAAACCCAAAGCCCTAAACCCTAAAGGCTACGCGCCAAGCCAGGAAGCATTATTTACTCTAGATCCCCGTGATAGGGTTTGGGGTTTATGGTTTAGGGTTTAGGGTACACACCAAACCAGGGAGCATTAATATTTACTCTAGACCCTTGTGAGGTAATTTTATGTTGAAGTCCTAAAAGAAGAACCCTAAACCCTAAACCCTATATTTACTCTAGATCCCTGTGAGGTATTTTTAAGTTGAACTCCTAAAAGAAGAACCCTCAACCCTAAACCCTAAACCCCAGGATTCCCAAGTGGAGGTCCCTCTGCGTCACACAAAGTTGCTAGGTCGGCCGTTGGCACATTTTGTGTTATGCTTCGGGGTTTGGGGTTTAGGGTTTAGGGTTTTGTGTTATGGCTCGGGGTTTGGAGTTTAGGTTTTAGGGTGTGGGCTTTTGGTGTAAGTCATAGGTTTTTTTTCAGGTGTTCCGGAGGATGGTATAGCGGTGCGGTGCTATAGGGCGGTGTACTGGCCTAAAGGCTCCATGTACCTTTATAGTAGATACTTAGGCCCTAAAGTACCTATTTAGGGACCCCTGCAAGGTTTAAGTAACTATTATAAAGGTACATGGAGCCTTTGGGTGGGTCACCTTGTACACGTTGACAGCTTTTGTTTCAGAGCTTCCGTCGGAGATAGGACTAGTAGGAAACAAAAATATTTAAGCCCCCCTTTCCTAAACCCTACGGTTTATTGGCGAACCAAGGTTGCCGCAGTGGTACTCCGACATCGATTGCTGCAACGATGAAATCCTGCTGTTGAAGGACACTGCCCAGACCCGCAAGTCTAAGCCCCCTAGGGTTTAGGGTTTAGG